ACATTTGCAGCACTTTTGCGCAGGGGTAGCGTATCGGGCTACCTATTTTGTTCAACAGTATGCATTACATGGTAACGAACGTATTGAATTTAATAAACTTATTGCTCTCGTAGCACACGGTACATCGAGTATCGTCTAAAGGACACGATAAAGCCAACGTTTGAGACCCAACAGTGGCTTAATGAGCTGGTTAATTCGTGAAATGAATTTGATCTTGCTCATGGCGAACGCTTTGATATGATTGTCGTATAATAAAACTTTCGATCTCAATCGTGATTGTAATTAGCATACTGGAGCTGAGAGTATGCAAACAATCACTGCTTGAGTCGTGAATGTAATCTGGCGAAATTATATCTCTTAATTAGCGTGATGATTAATGGTGGAACACGAGCTATTGCGCACGAATGGGGCTGTCTGATCACTATATAGATTAAAATGCGATGAACCAAAGCGAAATCAGTCTCAAGTAAGTACTTCATAGTACACTTTGCTGGTGCGTTTCAAATATAATTGCATCAAACGTGTACGATGAATGACTTTGTTTATGTCTCTCGGGATTGACCAGTCTTTATAGTAAAATTGAATGTTCGTGCCGATGGATTGTGCAGGTAAAATGGAAGATTGGGGTTATGCAGCGTTGCATGACGATCATGCACACCTTTAATCCATGTGACACTGGGACATGTGGTGGGTACTCTAGACACAAGACAATATAATAGCGTGACCCATCTCGCGTTAAATAAATAAGCCCGAGGCAGCGACTGAAATTTTTTGAAGGCGCTCGATTTAGGAAAGAAGAAAGAGTTGTACTTTCGTATGAATAAAAGCAAGATGAACATTGTCGACACATGCAGCGATATGTTTGTCTGGCACTGATGATAATTAAAATGATGCAATTATTTTTATGGGTATCGCTGTCAAGGCCTTCATTGATAAAAACGGTTTAAGGCGCAAATGTGTGTTCTCTGCAAGAGAAAACCGAGTAATGTTCAGACGTTTAGCACTTTCGACTGCAGAGTAGAAATTTTCAGCTTTTTCAAGATGCAGCTTGCGGAGAAGTTACTTGGAGCACTCAGTGCACATACCTTTAAATCTCTTGTTACATGTACTTTGACGACAATGCCATTGTCACCACGACCGCAAATGACTCGTCGGTTCTTTGACTTTACATCGAATGATAATTAGGTGGCTAGCGTAGATACAACGAGCTCTTTGTTACATGTCTTGATCTGAGGAATATTCACGTTAAGGGAGGTGTATAGTCGAGCTATAGCCATAGTCGATAGCTGACGTAATGACCTGAACTTGACACAATGCTTTTTATTATCTGTCAATGTTAGAAAATTAGTATTGGGTTGTCAAGTGGACGACAAATTTTCAATCGTTGGGATGATTAATTCGTTTAGTGTTGAATTCGCATCGCCAGACTAGAAAGAGGTAGTAAGTTAAGATTTGAGCACCGATAAAAATGAAAAAAAAGATGAAAGCAAGGAAAGTACGACTGAGGCAGCGTCATCGACATTTTTTACTGAGGTCGAATGAAAATAGCGAAGTCGATGAATAAAGTGAAATTTATCAAAGTGACGGCAAAAAGTCTCAAAACGAGATCGTTGAACACGTATAGGCCAGGATCACACGCAGTTACGTGCTCATACGCTTAAACATGTCACTGCAGCGACGCCAAATGACGCAAAGATTATTAACAAAGCAGCATCCGGATTGATTCGCTTTGGTCACATCAACATGAGCTCTTGTTCTCTACTTACCGTGCTCACTATCGCGTATTCGTACCGTCGTGTCTTCAAGCATTATTGTCAGCCATAATTACATGTCGAACACGTGATGCACGAGAATGTAGATTGCATCAGAATTTTGAAAAAAAAGCAACATTGGACAATTTTCATTTTCAAATACGAAAACAAAGAAAAGTTAAACAAAATGTGCTTCTGTTTTTACCGTTATTTTGGTGGCCAACGAATTGTGTTTTTTAATAAAGTCGAGTAAGGTGAACATTTGCAACATATCTTGCCACAGTAAAAAATTAAGATTGGATGAAGTGAAAGATATTGGTGAATGGATGCCCTCATGCCGGTAAATCAAGGCTTGCGACCAATCTACTAGTTGTACCTCTGATTAGCTGTCTAAATCATCGCCTTAAAACTACTCGCTTCTGTAGAGAAGGAGCCAAACTCACCTCAGTCGCGCTTCTGCTACTTTCTGCGCCAGATGACAAAGATGTACAATAGTAGTTCCGGACATAAATCAATGGAACAGCTTCTTTTGATAAAAAGTATCTATACGTGTGGTGGAGGGATTTGCAGAGCTACATTCAATTTAGTCATTACCACGAATCTTGAATAGTTGAGTACCGTGCTGCGACCCGCTTTAAGACGTAAGCTTGTTTGAGTGCAAGCATTATGATCAAAGTATGCAGCATATTGTTCGATGAATTGGAGAGTGAGTTTTGCTGAATCATTTAAAATTAATTAAGCTCGACCAACTTTTTCAAACTCTTAGCTCTTAATAAAAGGCTTAATGGTATTGTTTTATCACACCAGATGTCATATAGGTCGTCTTTTAAATGGCTACGGCAACTGTGCTCAAGCAGGAGTTCCTGGGTTCGGTTACGCTCGTGTCATTCTCATCAACCGGATCGCTACTTTACGTAGGCGTAGGCCCAGTGATTTTCCTGTACTCCACGACTGACTGCGATTTTTTGGGTGATCACAATGTCTTGATGCGAGGCATTTTGCACGGTTGCGATATTACAGACATTCCAGTCTCATCCACCACATCCAAATCGTTTGTTGGTGCTTTTTACGGTCAAAAACGTGTTGCTTGTTTCCAAAACTTGCCGCAAACTCCCGATGCTGCTCGTGGCCTTGAACACTTTCAGGTGTTGGGCAAGCCCAAAGTCTTTTGCGATTGGGTCTTCGATGTGGTATTGTTGACAGACGACATTTCGACAATTAACGACGGAAATGTCCTGGCAGCTGTAGGTTTGGCACATAATCTTGTGCAAATATGGAATCCAATTTCCAACACCATTCTTCACAGTTTGCAATGTGCTGAGCGTTGCATCCTGTATGCGTTAGCGTTCCATGGACGCTCGCTGGATGACCTTGTCGTTGCTTCCGGAACTGTATTCCAACAAATATTGTTGTGGAATCCAATGGAGCATGCAGACGAGGTTTCTGACAAGCCTATTGAACCAGCTCAACGGCTTCATGCTCACGACGGTGTACTCTTAAAATTAGTATGGTCTTTGGATGCACGCTTTTTGGCATCCGTCTCGGACGATCGTACTGTGCAATTGTGGTCACACGATCGGGAATTAACTAATGAGCGCCTGCACAAGCCGAGTTTAATAAATCGTGCAGAACTGCTTGCGAATGGATACACTACATTGTTTAGAGCTTGGGGTCATTCGGCGCGTATATGGGACGTAGCCTTTTGGGAACGTGGTTTGGCTACAGCAAGCGAAGATGGCCTTTGCAAACTTTGGAATCGGAATGGTCATTGTGTCGCAACGCTTCAAGGTCACATGGGTAGGAATGTATGGCGCATTGCCGTCCACCCTTCGCTCAACTTAGTTGCTACGGGAGGTGGCGATGGTGCTGCGAAACTTTGGGATATCACTCACCAGCTCATGTCCTCATCCAGTGTATCTGAAGCTAGCGAATTTTTTGACACTATTTGTATTCCGATTTCGAAACCTTCCACTGGAATGAAAAATAAAGCTTTGCCATCCGACAGTGTGCGTAACATATTACTTAGCGACCTTGACAATGGCAAGACAGCATTCGTAGCCTCCGAAAACGGCGATATTTTTCATCTTGATCTGTCGTCACTCGTGGCTAAACTCATTTATAGTATGGCTCCTGCTCGTAGTGTTAATGTTCGAGCTAAAACAAATGCATTGTCAACTTGTGCATTGGATTATTCTGAACGCTTCTTGCTTCTTGGTGAGACATCAGGACTCGTGCATATTGTTGAGGCCTCTACAAGCACGCTTCTTTACTCATGGACCACTCAGAAAAATGTTCGTGTTATGAAGATGTGGTGGGACCAAGAGGATGCTGTGTTTATCAGCAGTGCTGACGGCGCTCTCGGTGAGTGGAAGCCACTTATAGCAGAAGCCAGTGAAAATTTGCCGTCTTTCGCGATCACAATGAAGCATGTAAAGACATTCCAGATTCCGGCTAAAAGTTCAACGTCGTCCCTTATTGTTATAGACCGCCAAAATACCAGGAATGTATTCGCAGGCGACGGCCACGGTAACATTTACGCATTCCATCGCTCGTTCAGTGCGACAGAATGCGACAACTCGTCCAAGGAAGTCCAAATACCAGTTCTTGTACTGAAAGGTGTTCACAGGCGTCAACTTGTGGCTTCAATTTTGCTTTCTGAAGAGCATACTGATGCTAAAAAGAGTCACCACACCATTTTGTTATCCGGAGGACACGACGGATACATTTGTTCGTACGTGCTCACCGTAAAAGCTTCTGGAGCGATGACAGCCAAATTCAAGGGCCGTGAGTCTATTCGAGGAATTTCTACCGTCAAGCAGCTGTTGTGGAGCAAAGGCTCATCTGCCCACAGTACCACACCTCATGATCTTTTAGTGTTTGGCTTCCATGCGACACAAGCTGTTTTATACAACTATTCCGCGCAATATCGTATCTTCAACGTAGAATGCGGCGGGTGGCGTCGACCGCATGCAATTTTCACTGGTGCAAGAGCGGATAAGTCTGCTTTACCTTCTCATACGTTTGTCTTTACGCCTTCATCATCGCGAAAGCATGAAGTTGATGTCAAGGTGCATTCGACCAAATTGACTAGCATCGATCCTGGTGAGCACAATCCGCGATTCTCCAAATGTTCATTACATGATCAGCATCATGGGCGCATGACAACTTGTGTGGCTTTCATCGGGCATGATCGCTTAATCACAGCTGCAGATGATAATAGGCTCATGCTGCATCGTCGTCGCTCTTGCGGTCGCCAGGAGAAGGGTAGGCGTTGGACCAGCGTAGCTACAGGAACTGCCCATACAACCACGATTCGGGCACTCACAACGTTCCAGCGCAGAGGTTGTGATGGTATTCTAGAGCATATCGTTTTGTCTGGTGGTGGCAAGCAGCGATTAAATGTATGGCTTATTTGCGGGGATAGCGACCTGCTCCGCCTGATTTGCGGTCAAGAACGTGCTGAAGCAGCTCAGGATCACCGCATTCTCGGGCTTGCTACATTTGCGATACCTTCGGCCTCAGACGCGTACCGACTTGTAGCGGCTTGCAATTCCGAAGGCTCTACTCAGCTATTGCTGTTAGACATAGATCATGAAAAATTGATCGAGATCGGTGACTGCCAGTTAGCTTCCAGAAAACCGATCTTGTCATGCGTTGGCTTTCAAAATTGTGATGACGATGCGGTGGTTGCTGGTTTGGCAGTTGGCTCTACTGATGGCTTCGTGATGCTGTGGGATCTGAGCGCGGTTTTGAAAGAGATTGCAATACTTGTTCGATCCAATGAAGGTATAGCGCACTACAAGCAGAAGCTTGAAAATACTATCACAAAGCTTCAACTTAGTGGCAATTATATAGCTCACGACATGGGTGTGAACTGCTTTGATCTAGTCTCCTGCAACAAAAGCTCGGATGGAGAAAATCTTGACGTAACTCTTATCAGTGGTGGAGATGACCAAAGTTTGTACTTAAGCAAGTTCCGTTTTCCGTCATGCCAAATTCTTTTCGGAGCCAAGACAGTAAATGCTAGCGGTGCGGCTGTCAAAAGTGTCGGTTGCGTTGACGCCAAGGTCATTTTTGCCGCTGGATATGATCAGCGAGTGAGCAAATGGAACATTTGTGTCAACGAAGACAGTGTTGAGCTTGAATGGCAAGGAGTGGCCTTCTCTGAGTGCGCAGATATTGCTGATCTCGCGACTCGGCTTGCTCCGACTGGAATGGCTTACGACGTTGTCATCGTCGGCCAAGGGCTGCAGATGTTGCAGTACCAGCGCTAGTAGAGACCATGAGTTTTATAAACATGAGCAGGATTGGATGTATTATTGAGTTAGTCTTTCTGAATAACACATCGCCAGCTATGAAGAATGAGCTACACGCAATATCAAAAACTCTTTTCATGCTAAAGATAGTGCATTTTTATCCTTATTATCCTAAGCCGACGTCTGAGTGATCAATGATGACAGCCACCACATCCACGCGCCAGAGCCTCTCATTACACAATAGCGACGATGAAAACAAAATAAAAGCCAAAATCCAGTCCCTAGACGCCGACAACATGAGCAGCCTTATGGCCAAAAGTGTTCTCGCCGCTATAGGTGATGTAAAGAAACCCATCTACGTCTTTCTGTTCTTCGTAAATGTTTGACATTAACGCAGCTACATAGTAGAGTCGTATCATTAGATGAGAATGAGAATCAGCAACGATCAATATAATCGCTATAAACTTGAATCTGTACCGGTAGGTGGAAGAACGTTGTTTATAAAAATAAAGATGGCCTTCTCAGGACTCAATTTGATGCGCTTTCGAATGACGTAAACAAATTGACCAACAGTCAAGTCGGCCGGCACCAGGTACTTCTTTTTGTCAATATCTGGAATGTCACTCCGGTCCGCCTTTTCACAAATGACCTGTTTCGTGGAATAAGAAGTACAGCCAATTGATCAACAAGAATCACCGAGCTTTTAAGATAGCAGCTTCTACCGGAATTCGATCAGGATACTTAGATCGGATGCGCTGAGCCTCGGCCTGACGCTTTTCTAAGAATGCACACGATTTATCGCTAATAAAGACCCGTCACAAGCATGAAAAGATTTACAAAATACGTACCAAACGGATGTTCCTTCTTAAAAGAGCTCATCACTGCTATATAAGGCGATTTTATAGTTTCAGATTTCGGGGAAAAGTGTCTAGAATCGATCACACTATCAGTAATTCTCCACATGAAGGGTCATTTAAAAGCATTGAGTTAGTGGTTGGGTCAGCGCGCAGCGATCGACGCCACACAAGATTACACTGCTATGCGGGCCGCGAGGTACCACACAGCGAGTAGCCTACCGGCAGCATTTAAACTGAATTTTGAGTACTTGCCTTCCGTGCTTCTTCTTGGCTTCTCCTTCCTGTATGAAGGGAGACTAAAGTCGGAACTATCCTGCAAGCACCTAACCCTCGGAAAAGACTGTTATTGTTTAGATAAATGCACATAATTCGAGTCTTTTGCGAGTAACTTAATGGAAAGCGAGGACGAAATAACGGCCTCTCATCCTTGGTCAAAAATAATCAGGTGAGAATTTTGTATAAATTAGATGTGTTTTTGTAGTAACGAAACGAGTTCTACTTATATTTAATCGATATAGTAGTCACATCTAGAGAACGACTCTGCTAAGTGGCTCAATGGCATTACATCTGTAAAGTCACGTGTTTTCTCCTTTACAATTGACACTGAGGAAAAGAAGCACCATTTGTTTTCTGCTTCGACAACTCAGCATAAGAATGAGCCTATTGACTTACAAATATTTATAAGGTCTAAATTACAATTGTGTAGCTGTAGCAAGGTCAGATGATCGTCCGAAAATTTGATGATGTTGGTGATTCTGCATCTGCATAAGGATTATGTGGTGCTTTTGCAAGATTTAAAGCTTCGCTGTGTCGATGATTAACCACCGTAGCGGACAATATCATCGCTTTGCGACGTGAATTAGCTATGAACATGAAAATTCGTTTGGTGGGACAAAGCTCTTTTTGTAATTGTCGGTCATGCGCTTTTACCGTTTAAAGCGCTGGTTTGCTGATATGTAGCGACCCCGTTCATGTAAACTTTCGATCGACAATAAATTGCGCAGCAAGAGGTTGTCATGTTCAAGCACCTTTCTATCTTTTGGACAGTAAGGAATTTTTATTCCCGGGCTTCGACTACGAATGTTCTGACATAAATTTGTGACGCCGCACTGGTTGCAGGGTTTTTTCAGATTGCCATTTCTGGGCAACCATTACCCAGCTTCGATTTCTGTACATCTGGGTCTTCAAAAGATTCGAAAGCTAGCAGAATTTCTTTATCATGCTCACGGAAGTGCCACTGGAACGGCATTATATGTGAGCTCTCGATTTATCCTTTATAATCTTTGGTTTGAATCTGGCTCAGTGAGGCATGCTTTTGCAAACCTTTTGAATTAACTTATTTGATTGTGTCGTTTTGCATTCTTTTCTATGCTGCTTCTTGAATCAAAAATGGCTAGCTTATACTGCGATAGATCCAGCCGAAAGCAACAATTACGGAAGCTCTAGAGGACAGCCCCACTCATTTACGCTTGGTTTAGTAAGCCATTTATCATGCATGGACGCAGTCGTTAATCAGTTTTTTTCAAGGTTTAAAATATTTCACACTCGATTTCACCGAACACCTGGCTCGGCAAAGACTTGGTCATGAGTCTTTGCATGGTACTGGGCGATGCCCACTATCCTCGTCCGATAGGAATCCAAATGATATTTATCACAGATGCTTCTATTAACGAAGAATTAGTGTTTGAAGTCTGAAAGTATTAAATTTTCTCGGGGGTAGTACACAAGGCGTCGTCTGCAGCTGATAGACGCACACCCTTCAAGCTTATGTTATGGTTTGGACAGCTCTTTGCGCTCCGTCTCATTGTAAGTTATTTACAATGCAGTATCTCTTACGCTCAAAAAATCAGATTTCACTACTGAGAAAACCTCAAGTCAATTTATTTGATCCGCGATGAATATCTTGTGGCTCGCCAAAGTTAGATATCGGTGATAGCTTGACCTTGGAGAAATGACTTACATGCTAACTATGTATTCCACATCGAGTTCTTGCAGCCACGATGGGAATTTTGATTGGTAATAACCGTTTTAAAACCTAAAAATTTGCTGGAAAAACCTCATGGTAAAAAACGGCGGCTCCTTCTTCTCTCTCAGAAACCCCGGAGCACACAACCCAAGACTCTTTGAACGTGCCAGTCACCTCCCTCTTCTTTACTGTGTAAGTGCTAAATGAAACATGAACGCCAAATGTGACTATGCTACGCCCCTTCCTTCTACCCTGCTCTTCGGCTATCGAGTTGATTGGATTTCCTTAATCCAAAAAATAATATATCAGGGAGGAAGGAGAGGGCCCGTTACATATCGAAGAATCTATAGACTGATGAAAGTGCTGAACTCTGCTAGAGATTAAGCATCATTTACACCGCTGTCTTCGCCTTAGTTCAAGATGAACCCAGAATAGTACGTGCAAGATCGCATATTTAGCTTGATTTATCGCAGCTTTTGAAGAAGGTCCACTGATTGATACACGTTTTGTGTGAGTTAGCGACTACCTCTTTAAGCTGCTTTTGATTGGTGATTCTGGTGTCGGCAAATCGTGTTTGCTGTTACGTTTTGCAGACGACACGTATACGGAGAGTTACATTTCGACGATCGGCGTTGACTTTGTAAGCAAAATGATGCCGTTCGTGTGTCTTCAAGATTGCTTATGTGATTGATGCTAACGCTACGCAGAAAATTCGTACGATCGAATTGGACGGCAAAACCATTAAACTTCAGATCGTATGTGTTGCCATTGGGTGCAAAGCTGTTTGGATAGTTCTGACAAAAAGCATTATATATACATTGGTGCTTTTCTAGTGGGACACTGCTGGCCAAGAGCGTTTTCGCACGATTACCAGCAGTTACTACCGCGGTGCCCATGGCATTATTGTCGTGTACGACGTGACGGATCAAGAGTCGTTTAATAATGTCAAACAGTGGCTGCATGAGATCGATAGGTGCGCTTGATCTTTCGCACCGACAATACCTGAAGAAAAGAGCTGATTGCTGTGCCGCTATGATTACAGATACGCTTGTGAGAATGTGAACAAACTACTGGTCGGCAACAAGAGCGATTTGACGGCTAAGCGTGTGGTAAGCACTGATGCCGCGAAAGAGTTCGCCGAAAGCCTCGGGATTGAGTTCTTGGAGACCAGTGCGAAGAATGCTGCCAACGTTGAAAAGGCCTTTATGATGATGGCCGCCCAGATCAAGAAACGCATGGCCAATGCACCTGTGGCGCCAAAGGCTGGAGTTAAGCTTACACCCGGCCAACAAGTTTCTTCTAATGGCGGCTCAAAGTGCTGCTAAGCAACGTCGTATAGTCCAGTTAGCCTATCGTAGCTCGTGTTTTCTGCAACTTCACCCTATCCGGTGTGGAGAATCGCGTTAGACGTGGCACTCATGGGGTCTAGATCAGGATACGACAGGCGTGCGATATGGGGAATAGGCTGTTTGCTGTTTGAGGATACGGTGGCAATTGAAAGTCTAAGTAGCAATTGCCAAGGCTACTTTGGTTAGTAGTGACCCTGCACATGATATATTCTTTTTATCACACTACGTTACTTTTGCCATCTCTCTTGTTCGTGAGGTCGTTCTTGCAGGACGGACCTATGGAATCTGCTTTAGAAAATGGCAGCAATAAACGAGCCTGATCCTTGTAGACAAGAAACTCGAATTCAGATAGCCGCTTGTTGCGCTTTATAGACTGCAAGATCCATTCTAAAATAACATTTTAGTCACATTTGCTGGCCCTCAAAGGTTAAAACCGTACCCGGACGAACAAACTTGACCTTAGCATTACCCTGACATAAAGTGTTCATTAGATTATGATGATTAGACAATCGCCTTTGCTATGTATTACCATCAACGCTTTATCTGCTTTAGATCCGTTCAGATTCGAGCCGATCATGTGTGTTACGCGCGAGGTGGTCAGTGTTGAGCTAATTTTACCGGCCAGCATGTCAAATCATGTAAAATTTGCTAGACAAATGGGAAAAAGTACGCACCCAACGCTACCCCCGTGCTCTTGCACCAGTTTCGCCAAGTAATATCTGGCAAGAACATATTAGAGTCAGAAGCTCTCAACTTTCTAATAAAAGTTTACGCACGAAGTTACGTTGCCGGTGCGACCATTAAACACGATTCGGCATCCCTGCATAACCAACACAAGCCAGAATTAGCGAAGCTTTTGCGACTAAGAGCTCATGAGCACACCTTGAAAATATCTGACAATGCTGCTACCGTTTTCATTTTTTTATTACCTGCAATGCACAACAGAACGGTTTAAATTGATGCAACACTTGTCCTCATATGCAAACGAAATCACTCGCCTTGCTGAGATACGTCGACTCGTTCACGTTTTTCTAGAAAGAAGTGTTTGCGTTTTTCCACGATCCAGCGTCTCTTGATTTTTTCTTCTTCCTCCCGCTGTTGATTGCTTCTAACTCGGCGCTCGTTTCGCGACGTCGGCCCGCTTGGCCCATTAACTGCAAACATGACTAGCTAGCCAGCATTTCAATATTTGAATTTGGTATGTTGACTCACAGTATTTTGAGAAAAAAAAACTAAGTATCTCGATCAAAAGTGGAATTCGTAAGTAGGATGCATAGCACCGCGGCAGCGAGTACGCAATTTGCCGGTTCCCGTAAAGATCTTCACCATGCTCAACAGAAACAACAAATGGTGATGCGCCAGTCCCCTACAGCAAGCATTGATACCGAGCACAACGACATGATCTACGACATTCAGCTGGACTATTATGGCAAGCGATTGGTCACGTGCTCGTCCGATCGGACATTCCGCGTATACGATGTGTCAAAAGCAATTGCATTAAGTGGAAATAAAGACGATCAAGTGGAAGATAAAAATGGAATGGAGCTCCAGCAGCAGCAACAACAACTGTACGCGTTGCAGCATGTTGTATCTCTAAGCGACGACTCGGCGGCCCCTATCCATCGCGCAGCATGGGCGCACCCAAAATTTGGCGCAGTACTGGCACTGGCTGCTCAAGATGGAAAAGTGTACATTTATCGAGAGGAGCTAATCCAGCAAGGAGCTGGAGGAGTCCCAAATGTAACGGAATGGAGGCTGAAACACTCACACAAATTTCATTCACTAGCTGTACTGAGTGTGTCCTGGGCGCCCTATGAGTACGGACTGTGTCTAGCTAGTGCCTCGGCTGATGGACAGGTCTCGTTCCTCACTCGCATGCGTGAGGGATGGGTGGTGTCGTCTAGCTTTCGCAATTCAAACGAGGGAATGGGCTGCACATCTGTGAGCTGGGCACCTTATAACTCATTGGGCTCGCAAGGGGCGCAAGGGCCAATCCAGCGTGTGGTCACTGGATCATGTAACGACGCAGTTACGATCTGGCGACTTGTTTTAGCAAAACAGGAAGGTGATACTTCTTTTTGGGAACTTGTTAAGACCCTTAGCGGACATAATGATTGGGTTCGTGATGTGGCTTGGGCACCAAATGTAGGCATCCCGGCAAACGTGATTGCATCGGGGTCGGATGATCATACGGTGCGTGTTTGGACTCAAGATGAGGCCGATGGCGATTGGGCCTCCCATGTAGTACATACATTTTTTGCACCCGTTTATCGAATAGGCTGGTCTCTCACGGGCGCTGTCCTCAGTGTTGCCGCTGGTGATGATGAGATAACTTTATGGAAGCAACAAAGCAATCATGAATGGAAGCGCATATCTTCTGTAACTGATCAAGGTGCAGCTATAATTGCAAGCAACCAAATGTAGATTTATCGGTCACTATTGCGTGCCAGGTAATGGATTAATACCTAGCAATCGAAACAATTATGAAACGTTGTGTCTCTATCCTAGTCATTGCTCGATTTTTCCTAGATCTACGATGTGTGATATACACGCATAGCATAGGATGCGACGTCGAGCAGCTGGAAATGCTCACTGGCGCCATCAACCAGCTTTTTATCAGTCTCAGCAATGCGAAGACAAATTTTGGCCTTTTGTACGTCATTCAGCTTATCTAGTGAGAGCACGTCATCATTTAGTTGCCGCAATATTGTGAGCACAGGGTATCCAGCCAGTAATATGCTCTCAATGTCTGTCTTCATCTTCTCAAAGCTGTTAGAAGCCACCGAAGCCCAAAATTGCTGCAGTAGCTCTAGAGGAGCAAGACCTGCCACTGCAATAACATCATCATTTGAAAGGTCCTCATCGGCGCAAAGCTGCTTGGCACTTTGCAAGTAGTTAATTGCTTTACGCAAATCTCCGTTTGAACACTCGAGAAGCAAATCCAAAACCGAGTCTGACACATTAACATGCTCTTCCGATGCGATAAAGCGCATACGAGACGCCATAGAGACCCTTTCAAGTGGTGCAAAGCGAAATTTGGCGCATCGTGAGGCCACGGGCTCAATAATACGGCTGACATAATTACAGATAAGGCAAAACCGAGTGACTTTAGAGTAGTTTTCCATCATGCGCCGCAACGCTGACTGGGCGTCACCGGTCATAGAATCGGCCTCATCAAGAACAATGATCTTAAAGGGCGGTAGACCACTAATGCTACTTATTGCACCTTGGGCAAAACTCTTCACTTTCTCGCGGACCACCTTGATGCCTCGATCATCCGATGCGTTGAGTTCCAAAAATCGGCCATTTTTGCGGAAGTCTGGTCCAAAAAGCTGCCGACCTACCGCTACAATGGTGGACGTCTTACCCGTACCCGGAGGTCCGTAAAATAGCAAGTGGGGCAGCTGTCCATTAGATATCGAGGTTTTAAGCGTGGCAACAACATGCTCCTGATGAGCGATCTCGTTCACGTTTTTGGGGCGACTTCATGTAGAAATAGCACGCAGATGAGTGCACAGATTATGAACTGTTCATGACAGCGGAGTACGTACTATTTTTCTACCCAGGGCAGTACTGGCGCCATTACATTTGTCTTGGACGTCACTGGAGAGCTGAACATGATCTAATGAAGACACTAATGAAATTTAGTATTCAAAAATTTTGAGCTCGTTTGGGGTCTCAATAATATTACATTCTTACATCTTACACATTTGGTACATTGCGCTTTTTGTCTAGTATGCGTACCGAGCATAGTTGGCAGCTAGCTTTTCAAGCTAACAAAAAGCTAAGCTATTTGATAGCTAAGCTATTTACTGTTAGCTTAGCTTAGCTTTTTGCTTGTTAGCTTAGCTTAGCTTAGCCTGAAATATATCAAGCTACCAAG